ATTCTGCACTCAGGGTTCAGTCCTGGCTGACTTTGGGGACCAAATAGAATGCTGGAAGATGGAATCATGCAAGGCAAGAACTCCACCCAAATAACTCTCAGTTCAGAAAAAAAAAACTTTTTTTCTATGTGTAAGGCAGGGCAAGCAGGCATCTAATTAGACAGCATCTGCTCTTTGTCATGTAAATCACCCTCTCTTAATATGTGAGTTTGTCTCAGATCACCTTGCCTTTTATCTTTCTCATTTTTTTCCCCTTCCCTTTATTGCTTTGATAACAATCGGGTATTGTGCACATTTGGTCATGGTGCTCACACGTTTGGTTGTGATCACAGACATTTTTGGTTGCAGTGCATGCCACAAGTCACACACTTGGTGCGAATACTCACACAGTTAATTGCAGGGTTTAGCCAGGGTCACACATTTAAGTTGCTCATATACACTTGTGATCCAGAAATTGCAATTTGTTTTGACACTGGGGATCACTAACCAATATGTTTTGGATCACATGAGGGATAGTAGGTTTGATCTAGGATTGAACTTGTAACCTAATTCCAGACATTCTTCCACTATCCCACAGCCTTACTCTAGAATTTCTTTTTGATTTTTTCACTCTAGCATTTCTTAGCCAAATTTGCTTTCTTCTCTTAGGGGGTTTGAGTGTCTCCCCAGTGGTGCTGAGGCCCATGAGATGCTTAGGAAACCATACAGAGTCATGGATTGAACCCCGGACTCTGCATGTCAGGTTTGCACCATATAGCACACCAGCCCCTTGAGCTATGTCCACAGTTCTGTTTCATTATTTTCAGAATCCTTACATCTCTGAAAATGTTATATATATATATTTTAATTGATTTTTTTTATCCTACTAATCTGTTTGCTGTTCTTTATTGGTTCAAGCAGCCCAAGATCTCAGAAGAGTAGGAAGAAATTTCCCACGTCTCCCACATTGCATATTTCAGCATACTATGAGGAACCTGAGGTTCCCCATTGTTGGCAAGGGTAAAAGTTGAAGGGCAGAAGGTAAAGGCAAGTTACTGTGAAAACTGCACATCAACTCTCTACTCTTGCCTATGCACAATTTTCAATTTGTGCTAGGATCTTCCCTCAGCTAAAAGGGATGAAGAGTAACAGCTGAAGCATAATTCAGCTGTTACTCTACGTCAAAAAGCATGAATCATTTCTGGGTTAACCTCAGCAGGAAAGCCTTAAAGCCTTCCCGTCTGACTCTCTTCACTTAGCATGGCTTCCTGTGAAAGAACAGAACAGCATAACTTTACAAAGAAACAAAAAGAGAAGTAAGCAGATTTTCATGTTTAAAAAATTGAGTTCATTTATATTTAAGCTATTATGTTAAGAAATACAACAAAGAGTAAAAACTTTAGTAAAACATTTTCTCTGAAATATACTACTCTAAAAAACATTCTGAGAAGTATATATAGGTAATGTGAGACTTGTTGTTACTGTTTTTGGCATAGAACATGCCATGAGGAGCTTCCCAGGCTCTGCGATGCGGGTGTGATACTCTGGGTAGCTTGCTGAGCTTTCCAAGAGGGACGGAGGAATCGAACCCCGGTTGGTAGCATGCAAGAAAAACACCTTACCCACTGTGCTATGGCTCCAGGCTTTTAATAAACAAATCTAACAAAATTAAAGGAAAAAAATGTAATACCACTCTTCTAAATGTACAGCAAAACCCATTGTCCTGGGTTCTAACTCTAACACCTCATGGTTCCCAGAGCAATACAAGGTAGAGTCCAAACCCTCCCTCCCAAACTCTAAAGTTGTAACAAAAGTTTTTGCATAGGGTCAAGATACAATTTTTCCAAAAGTTAACTTATTTATTTGTAGTACTATATTGCATGAATCTGTTCTAGACACTCAGTTGTGCCTACAGAATACAAGTATGCATACCTGCTGTGATAAAGAAAAAATGATAACATAGTTACTAAGTCTAGAATGTAACATTTCAGAACTTTCCAACCCTTTTGTCACATGTAATTTCTTATCCATCCAACAAGTTGGACTTTACAGAGGAAAAAGCTGAAGCACAGATGCTAAATACGCAGTCACACAGACAATATCAGGACTTCACTTGAACCAAGACAGTTTAAAAACCTTGTGTGCAGAACATATGTTTGTCATAGTATTGCTTACAATAGTCAAGATCTAGAAATAACCCATGTGTCTAGAAACATTAGATGAATGGATAAAGAGATAGTGGCATATGTGTGTGTGTGTGTGTGTGTGTGTGTGTGTGTGTGTATGTGGAACACTTCTCAGAAATGACATTAGAGAAAGTTTTGAAGTATGCTGCAACTTGGATATAATTGAGGAAGCCATGCTAAGTGAAGAGAGTCAGACGGAAAATGGCCAGAACAATAGCACAATGTGGCAGGCACTTGCTTTGCACATTTAACACTGCACCCCAAATGATCCCCCTGAAACTGCCAGGAAAAATCCTTGATGCAGAGCGAGGAGAAAGCTGTGAGCACAGCTGGGTGTGGCTTCCAAATTTTAAAAATAATAAAAACGAGAACAAAAGAAAGGAAGAGAGGGAAGGAGGGAGGAAGAAAGAGAGAAGAAGAGAGAGAAAGAAAAGGACAAATAGCAGGTGACCTTGCTCATATGGAGCGTATACAGGAATAAAGCAGGGGATTAAACAATCACCAGTGGAAACAAATCCTTGGATATGTTCAATAGAGCTATGGTGTGAGGATGCTCAGGAAGTGATGAAAGAAGGTACTTTGAGATAGAGATGGAGGAATCTTTGTGGTCCAATGGCATAGCAGCATTTCAAGTATAAGATAATATCACTACTATTGAAAACAGCTATTATTAATTAATTAATTATTATTTTTTTTTTTTAGTTTGGGGACATAGCTGGAAGTACTCAGGGCTTACTCCTGGCTCTGTGCTCAGGGATCACTCTTGGCATGGCTCACAGTAGCAGTATGAGGTAATGGGGATCAAACCCAAGTTGGCTGCTTGCGGGGCAAATTACCTACTCCCTGTACTGTCGCTTCAATCTGTTAGCAATTTTTTTAAAATAGGAGAAACACAGGGACAGTCATAAAGAATCTTTGGTATTGCAGTGATGGTGAAGGTATAGTGACATTTTATACTGAAAGCAGGAGCATTGACACTTTTGTAACTATGTTACCTTAAGTACAATAACATAAACTTTTTTTTTAAAAAAGTCACGCTCTTAACTAGTAACGGATTTTCAATTAAACAAACCCTATATTAATATCTTTCTAGTACCATATTTTTAGTTGTTATTTAATTCATAGTAGGGAGTAATTCAGTTTTTCTAATAGCTCCCATATTATAGTTGATATACATATAATTAAACTTTTCTTTTTCTCCTATTAGCCTGTCTTTGTATTATAGTCAAGAATCTAGAAATATAGAGAAAGTTATTCCCCTACAGTTGTCTCTTCTTGGTAAACAAGTTGCATCCAATCAGAAGAGGAGATTCCTATCCTAGATATGAATATTATAGATCTAATAGAAAGGAAAGCTTATACAAATTAATCAGACTGAACAAAATTTGAAGCTACATGAGTATTTTTTAAGTTTACTGTGTGGCAACAATACATCTATGTTATCATTCTATAATACTTTTATTAATAGCCTCCATTATAAATATTCCATACCTCCATTTCCTCCTCCCATTTTTTAAAACTAATTTATTAAACTAGATCCCACCTGGGACTGGAGAGATAGTACAAAGGGTATGCTCTTGCTTAGATTCCGGCCTAAATGGGTTCAATCCCTAGTTTCACATATAGTCACTGACACTGCCAGGAGTGATCCCTGAGTGCAGAGCCAGGAGTAACCTCTCTGGGTGTGAACAAACAAAACAAATAAAAACCTTCTTATGACTACCTATCACCTTAATGACAAAATCCAAACCACTAACAGGATACAGAGATCTCTCTGATTTGTTTGCCTCTCTCCTATTCTCTGTTCCCCCAAACAAATCATTTTGCCTCCCTCCCACTGCCCCTCCCTCACTTCCTCTCTCTTTCCCCACATCCTCCCCTTCTCTCACTCCTCACCCACCTCGCAAAACACTCTATGATAGATTCTGAGAAAGCAGGTACCCTGTTTTCTACCAGCTCTAACTGATAATTGAATTCATCTCTGTATCTGTGTGGCATTTTCCAGAGAGCTCTGAGGAGCTATACCCCTCTCCACTGCCCCCCAAAGTAGAAAAGAATGATTCATATGGGCAGAAGGAAGTGAAGGAGTAAAAAAGCAAATCAACTGGGGCAAGGTCACCTTCCCTTAGGGGACAGTTGGTCCTATCAGCTAACTCTCTCCTTAATGCTTACAGAGAAATTCCGGTAAACTGGTTTTAGATCTCATCCTGGGAACTAGGAAACTAAAATTGAGTTGGGTATCAGTCTCTTTTGGCGATGCTGGTTTCTGGGGGGGGGGGGGTGGGGGGGGGATCCTTTCATGTATTCATTCAGAGGATTTTTTCTTCTTGCCATGTTGGCAGGTTTCGCTTCACAGTTAGCAATCCTGGTGTCTCCAGCCCTTTTTCATTAGATCCCTCTCTATCTGATGAGAGCTTCAGGAACTGACCACAATCTGCCTGAAGCCATGGGTAAAGGATCCTTTCCCTTAAAGCCTTGTCTTCTTCTGCCTCTTCCTGATTGTTAGGTCATCAGCCCTGGGGGCTTAATCACAGCTAACTCACAGTGAGTTACTGAGTGAGTGCTTCACTGAGTCACAGTGAAGCAGCGCCTGAAACAGAGCCTGTGCTTTTATCTTCGATTACTAAACTGAGTTCACCCAGCAGGAATTTATTGTGTTGTAATAGGTGCTGTGTCACTGAAAACCACTAAGAAAAAAAAAAAGAAGAAGAAGAAATAGGATTAGGAGCCCAAGATGAGCCACACACCATATATGGAGAAAGCCACCTCTTGAGAGCAGGGAGCAGAGTTTCTGCTTTCTGTTTCCTCAAAGCTGCTAATGTCCCGGGTGGGGGGTGAAGCACAGACTCCAGCGCCAGCTCCCAGCCTGCAGCCGCTCTGGATTTCAGCCTTCAGGCTCCATGCCAGGCAGACCCAGCCTGCAAAGCACGCTGGTGTGCACCTCCTGGCTTGTCTGCTTAGCCTTCAGTTATGAGTACACTAAAAATACATTGCCAGATATTGAGGATGAAGCTTTCATCAAAGACTGTGTTCGTGTTCACAACAAATTCCGTTCAGAGGTCAACCCACCAGCCACGGATATGCAGTACATGGTAAGCGAACATCGGTTATTTGTGGCACAAAAGAATCCAAAAACAGCTAACGTGGTGATGGAAATCCTTAGTATCCCTGCATGATGTTTTCCCTCATTGTGATTGATGAGTACAATTGATTTACAGGCTGTGGTTGAGCTTAGCTCTGCCTGCTAACGCTGTGATCAGTGAACACACAGACACATTTTGCCTCTGCTTGAGACGCTTCCTTTCCTTTGCTTATAGAGAAATGTGGCTCAATTTTTTTTGTCTGTCTGGTAAATGTGAGGATCTCTCTTTTTTATTGTTTTGTCTTTTAAACTTATTGTTGTTGTTCCAGCAGAGTATTCCCTTTCCCAAGATGTTAGCATGGATCTTTTGAGTTAGTCAGGCTTGGGTTTGAATTCCAGCAATGCAATGCTGAGCTCTTGCCCTTCTAGATTTTTACTGAATAATGAAAATATGTGAAGCATGGCACATAGATTTGGCACACAAATGCCTCTGTTGAACTGTTGGTCTGCGTCCTTCTCTCAATACTAAATTCTCGGAGAATGTGGCCTACACAGTGTCTGCAGACAAGGCTTGGATAGAGGTACACATGCAATACTTACCTGGCGGGGAGACACCATGATCATGAAGGTAGTTTTCCCAAGGTGAAGCTTATGCATTGCATTTGGGATGTGCTGACTCCTGCAATTTCCCCAAATGTGGGAAACTCGACTGCATAATTTGTGATAGTGTAGGACTGTATTTGCTCTATCCCCTGGTTAAAAAAAGAAAAAGAGATACACATGTAGGGTGGTTCCTGTCTTTCCTCATTCACAATCTGCACTTTGCTCCCTACATTCACATTGTTGTAGAACAGGTTCTTCCATTTTCTTTTTTTTTTCAATTTGAAAGCAACTTTATATCTAAATGTATACAGTAACACTATTCAATTATCAACATATTTAAGGTTTTGGGGGAAATTACTTATTTTTAGACGCACCTTTTTCTCCCCAACTTTGTAAAAAAAAAATTTATTGAATCACCAAGAGATACACAGGTACAAAGTTGTACATGTTTGGATTTCAGTCACTACGGAGCACTGTCCTGTAGCACTGTCCTCCCGTTATTCATCGATTTGCTTGAGCGGGCACCACTAACATCTCCATTGTGAGACTTGTTGTTACTGTTTTTGGCATATCAATACGCCATGGGGGGCTTTCCAGGCTCTGCCGTGCAGGCGGAATACTCTTGGTAGCTTGCCCGGCTCTCCAAGAGGGATGGAGGAATTGAACCCGGGTCAGCCGCATGCAAGGCAAAAGCCCTACCTGCTGTGCTATCGCTGTAACCCTTCAGTCACAGTATATTTCAATATCCATTTCTTCACCAGTGCACATTCCCACTACCAATGTCCCCAGTTTCCCTCCTGCCACCATATTCATCCCTAACCCCTCCCCAGCCTACCTTGATGGCAGGCACTTTCCTTTCTCTCACTCTCTCACTTTCTCTCTCTGTCTCTGTCTGTCTCTGTCTCTCTCTCTGTCTCTGTCTCTCTCTCTCTCTCTTTGTCTCTCTCTCTCTGTCTCTCTCTTTCTCAGGATTATGGCTTTATTATTATCTCATTCTTACTTTGGACAAAGTGGCAGGCTACTGAATGTAACCTGCCCATATGGCAGAGTCTGGCAAACTCCCCGTGGCGTACCCAATATGCCAAATACCAGTAACAATGGTGGGTCTCGTTCTCCTAACCCTGAAAGAGCCTTGAATATGGCATTTTTTTTAAAAAATCTCAGGGCTTGGATGAAGGAGACATTACTGGGGCCTGCTCGAGGCAATCAACAAACAACAGGATGGTCGTGATCGTGATGGCTTGCCAGTTTATCAATGTATACCCCTCTACTTACTTTTAGCACTCAGTACTTGACCAGAGTGATCTTTTCCAACTATCATTGTTATAGTGCTTTCTTCTCTATCCCAATTGCCCTTCCCTAGTCCCTCCATCTTGGCAAGTTTCCATCTGTGGACCAGTCTTCCTGGCTCTAGTTTCTACTGTCCATGGATATTAGTCTCATGTTGTTGTTGTTGTTTTTAAATATACCCACAGATGAGTGCAATTGTTCTGTGTCTGTATCATTTTTTTTTATTTATTTCACTCAGCATAATACTATCTCCATGTCCATTCATTTATAAGAAAATTTCATGACTGTTTTTCCTGGTGGTTGCATAGTATTCTATTGTGTAATGTACCATAGTTTCTTTATCTAGTCGTCTGTTCTCAGGCACTCAAGTTAATCCAGATTCTGGCTATTATGAATAGTGCTGCAATAAACATAGAACGACATATGGATTTCTGCTGTGTGTTTTTTGGGCTCTGAGGATATATTCCTAGAATTAGTATTGCTGGGTTGTATGGGAGCTCAATTTCTAGTTTTTTGAGAAATGACTATATTGGGGCTGGAGCAATAGCACAGCGGGTAAGGCGTTTGCCTTGCATGTGGCCGACATGGCCGACCCGGGTTCAATTCCTTCACCCCTCTCAGAGAGCCCGGCAAACTACCAGAGTATCTCACCCGCAAGGCAAAGCCTGGCAAGCTACCCGTGACGTATTCAATATGCCAAATACAGTAACAACAAGTCTCACGATGGAGATGTTACTGGGCCCGCTCGAGCAAATCAATGGACAATGGGAGGACAGTGCTACAGACTATATTGTTTTCCCCAAAGGCTGAACCAGTTGGCATTCCCACCAATGAATAAGAGTTCCTTTCTCCTTGCATCTACACCAACACTGGTTGTTCTTGTTCTTTTTGATGTGTGGCAGTCTCTGTTGTGTGGGATGGTATCTCATTGTATTGATTTGCATCTCCCTGATAATAAATGTTGTAGATCATTTTTTCATGTGCCTTTTGATCATCTGCATTTTTTCTTTGAGGAAATTTCTTTTCATTTTTCTTCCCAGTTCTTGATGGAGTTGGTATTTTTTCCTGTAAACTTCTACCAGTGCCTTATATATTAACCCCTTTTCAGATGCGTATTGGGTAAATAATTTTTCTCATTCCATGAGCTGTCTTTGTCTTGGTCACCATTTCTTTTGGGGTGCAGAAGCTTCTTAGTTTAGTGTAGTCCCATTTGTTTATCTTTGCTTTTAAGTGCTTGGTCATTGGCTTTTCTTTGAAAATGCTTTTAACTTCAATATCATGGAGGGTTCTGACTATGTTTTCTTCCAGATACCTTCTGGATTCACGTCTGATATTCAGATCTCTAATCCATTTTGATCCATTTTGTGCCTGGCATTAGATAGATGTCTGAGTTCATTTTTTCGCATATAGCCGCCCAGTTTTCCCAGCACCACTTGTTGAAGAGACTTTCCTTGCTCCACAGGGCTCTTTCTACACTTCATGGTTGTATACTTTTTTTTTTCCAGACATGGGATCCACAACTAGCCCAAATTGCAAAAAGATGGGCAAGAACCTGTCAGTTTCAACATAACCCAAGGTTAGGCCAACATCTGCACCCAAATTTTACTGCTCTGGGAGAAAACATCTGGACAGGGACTGTTTCCATCTTTTCTGTGTCATCAGCCATCACAAGCTGGTACAATGAAGTAAAAGACTATGACTTCAAGACTCGGAAATGTCGCAGTGTCTGTGGCCATTACACTCAGGTAAGAATCTTCCCTATATTCTCTTGAAACTATCTTTTCAAATGTGAGGAGAAAAATCAAAATCTGCTTTTATAAAAATATATACCACTCAAGTGTACAAAGGAACACAAATGTCTTCAAAATGGTGCTTTGAGCAATGAGGTAGATGCCAAGAAGTGGGATTTCTGGGTCATATGGAAGCTTATTATTTAGTTTTTTTAGATGCGCCCATATTATTTCATAAGGAGACAGAAATAGTAGAATTCCTACAACAGTGAATGTGGGTTCCCTTTCCCTCACATCCACACCAACACTGGTGGCTTTTGTTCTTTTTGATGTGTGCTAATCTCACTGGGGTGAAGTGTTAGCTCATTGTGTTGAAGTTGAATTTTATCCAATCCCGTGCTGGATAAGTGTTATAAGATCCTGAGTTTAGCTAGTCCAGAGCAGAATTCTAAATGTCAGCTTCAGATCATAGCGTCAGTGCTGATACTTTATTGGAGAGGGCAAGAGCAGTGAAGTGGGAGAGAGAAACTTAGGAGAGGAGCAGGAAATAAGGTGCCTCACAGGAAATGACTCCTGACCTGCTTAGATGTTTCCCTTCTGCTATAGTTTCCTGTCTAATGCAATTCAGAGAAATTAACAAAGTCCTCTGTTAGCAAAGAGGACAAAATCATTTATCTGATCCAAGGGAGATAAGGACACTTAGAAGTTGTTCATAGAGAAGTTAATTAACAAGAACTAACTGTATGTTCTTGGAAGCTGAGCTAGAACATGTTTGCTGAAACATAAAATGAAGATAACTCTAGGCAAAATGAACTTGGTGAAGTTATATAGTGTGTATGAATGAGCTGGTACTTGAAAGGGGAATAGCAACAAATTGTGAGACTTGTTACTGTTTTTGGCATAGCAAATACCTCGCAGGTAGCTTGCCAGGCTTTGCTGTTTGGGCGAGATACTCTCCGTAGCTTGCTGGGCTCTCCGAGAGGGGCAGAGGAATCGAACCAGGGTCGGCTGCGTGAAAGGGGAATAGTTAACTATTTGTTGCACTTTGTTGCTTAAATCACAGTCTGTAATGTGTACTCTGTGTGTGTGTATGTGTGTGTGTGTGTGTGTGTGTGTGTGTGTGTGTCTCCTTGTCCCCTAAATAAAACAATTTTACTTTAAAGTAAATAGGTAGTGCAACTTAGAAGCTCAGGTTTGGTTGTGCTTGGAATGCCCACTAGATGGCAATATTGATCAATTTTAGTTTCAATGTCTACAAGCACCTCAACCCATTTGTGTTACCATTTGATGAGTCAGATGAACTAACTCAGAACTAAAAGGTAGATTTTCAATTAAAAGGGAGAGACAATAGATTCCCTAGATACAATGTTGTTTGTCACTGTCACTGCCACTGTCCTCCTGTTGTTCATCCATTTGCTCAAGCGGGCCCAGTAATGTCTCCATTGGAGACTTTGTTGTTACTGTGTTTGTCATATCGAATACGGTAGCTTCAGTAGCTTGCTGGGCTCTCCGAGAGGGGCGGAGGAATCAAACTCGGGTCGGCCATGTTGGCTGCGTGTAAGGCAAACACCCTACCGCTGTGCTATCGCTCCAGCCCCATTGTTTGTCACAAGTTCTAGAATCCTTGTAGGTTCTATTGGATTAAGTTTATTTGGTTAGACTCGTTCAATTAAACTGAATTCAGTTCATTAGCTGGGGCCCTGGAGAGAGTGCAGAAAGCAGGGCATTAATACCAGTAACAATGATGGGTCTTATTCTCCTAACTCTGAAAGAGCCTTGAATATGGCACTTTTTAAAAAATCTCAGGGCTAGGACGAAGGAGAAGTTACTGGGGCCTGCTCGAGGCAATCGACGAATAACAGGATGGTCTGATCCTCGTGATATGAAAACATAGATTTCTGAGGAATCTGACCTTACAAGTTAATAGAGTCTGATTAGGGGGAATAGCTGATTAACCTTGGGGAAGAGAGGGTAGAGAAGTGGTTACAGATAAACAAGGGAATGGGGGTGACCGGGCACACTGTGATGGGTGTAACCTGATAAACCTAAGCTCCTTGTAGCATGGGCGAAAGGACAAACCAGTGTTCTCCTACAGTGGAGGGTGTGATGTGGGGATGTTCTTTGCAAGAAACCCTATCACTGACAGTAATGTAAGTGACCATGACTTACTGAAAGAAAAGTTTTCAAAAGTAGAGACTAAAGTACAGGGGATTGACAGACGAATTTACTGCAGCCACCACCACCAAATGTCCAGGACCCCACTCCATAGTCCCCCTGCCATCTGCCACTCTTCTAAGGCCAGGCTTTTTCTTACCAGGCACTCACTTCTGGGTTTTCCTAAGTGATTTCCGGCCACGAAGTACAGAGGAAAGGTTCCTTCCTTGGAAGCACCTCACCCTACCTTCAACTTCAGGGAAACCTCCTCTTGTTCTATACTGTCTTCCCCAGAAAGAGCTTTTTTTTTTTTTTTTGAGGTATTTTTGTTTTATTGAGGAAAACTCCACATTCTCACTGGCCTAGCCTCAGTCCTGCTGGAAAGCTCTCACAGGTGCTGCTCTCTGCTGGAGGACTCTCAGAATGCAGCACCGTCGTCACATCATCACATCCTCACACATCACGCCACATCCTCAGAGCCCTCGCCTTCACAAGCCCAAACCCTTAGATAAGAATCGTAACTAGGTTTCTCTACAGTTTGGGAAGCTGTCTATTGGCTTCTCTTCAAGTTTCCTTTGCATATCCCATGTATGTCACAGTTCTTGTCACAGAATTCCTGACAGCCGTGCACACACAATTCAATCTTATTTTATTTTTGCTTCAGATCTTTGAAGACGGGTTTAACTGCACCTTTAACTCTTATTTCCACTTTTTTTTTACATTTTATTTTGTGGTTCATTTTAATGGCGTGGATCATGAGAATACAGCAGAGAAAGAGGTCTTTACAGATGTTTGAGAAACTGCAGGTTTGAGGGTAAATTCAAGTTCTGTTCCAGGCGATGAGGCTAGGGTGTCCCATTCTCCCTTCACTTCATCCTTTTGCATTCATTCCTCTCCCAACTCCCTCTCCCCGGGAGGTCCTCCAGCTGCTAAGGCTTCTCACTAAGATGCTGGTCCCATAACTTTCTCTGAGCATGCAGTGAGTGATCCAGTGGATCCAGTGAGTGGACCCAGGATCTTACTTTCTGAGTGGATCCAGTTGCTGCCGAGACCTTTCCTATTACTGCTGGAGTTTTGCTTCAGTGTAAATTCAGCATCACTGGCACTGGCATCTCTAGACCATTGCCCCACCGCTGTCAGAAAGGGGCTATTGAGAAAGTGGAAAATCCAGTCAGGAAAAGCTGCCCTGGGTACAGAACACTCTGTTGCACTGTCCTGTTGTTCATCAGTTTGCTTGAGTGGGTGCCAGTAATGTCTCACAACAAATTGTGAGACTTGTTGTTGCTGTTTTTGGCATATTGAATATACCACAGGGAGCTTGCCAGGCTCGGCCGTGCAGGAGGGATACTCTTGGTAGCTTGCCGGGTTCTCCGAGACGGATGGAGCAATCGAACCCGGGTCACCCTCCGGCAAGGCAAACACCCTACCCACTGTGCTATCGTTCCAGCCCTACAGAACACACAGCAGCTCCAAACCATCTGGTTTCCCTGGGGGCAAGAGAGGTTTTGCCTAGAAAAGATGGAATGCAGAGACCCTGAGTTCGGCCCTGCTGATGCTGCTGCCCAGGGACGCCTTCCTGTTTGAGCAATCAGTGCCATGACAGAAGCTTGTGCAAGGGCACCTGGCCCGGCAGTTAGACTTTATAGAATGTTCCAGTCCTGGAGCTAGCAGCTGGGGCACCGTGGCAACTGAGTGTCCACCTTCAATGGCTCCTAGTGGCCCGAGCTCAGTTTGGAGCCCGACAACACTGCGTTGCGGAGAGTCTTCACCCATTCACTGGCCTCCTTGATGGACTCAGACTGAGCTGGCCAGTGCCGGGCACCAGCTGCTTTTCCACCTGGAGTCACCAAAAGTCTCAGTAGCCTCACAAGCTGGGTCAGCAAGGCATTCCTGCCCAGACACTGTGCTCAGATTGTTTACTTAACTCTTCTCCTGACCTCTGATCTAATCTAATTCCATGCTTTTCAGATTTATATCTCTAGCCTTGACCTAGTCTCAGAACTGGGAGATTTTTTTCACGGTGAAGCCAAACTTCCTTTGGACAGACTCATCTCATAGGCGGCCCAGCACAGAATCCTATGTCAAAAGTGCACCGGCCCACTTCCTCCTTCACTGGGTGTCATCCCCATCAATCCCCCTCCTCCCCTCCGCAAATGTGCTTAGGCCCATAACATTAACTTGATTTTTCTCATTTCCTTTTGTTCCACACTTAGAGACTAATCCTTCCAGCAGTTCCCAAAGTGGGTGATAATGGCCTAACTGGTTTTACGGCCCTGGGTACAAGTGGGGAACACATTACTTAGCAAATTCAGAGCACAAACGTTTCCCTGATGTGTTCTCCCTTAGCGGAAAATACACAATGTGATATTCATGAAGACAATCATATGCAAATGTACATTTTATTCTTTTCCTCGTTAAAAATCTTTTTTTTCCTTTCAGGTTGTCTGGGCAGATAGTTTCAAAGTTGGCTGTGCAGTACAATTTTGTTCTGCAGTTATTACTCGCTCAACACAAATTAACCACGCAGCACATTTTATATGCAACTATGGACCTGCGTAAGTGCACAGATAAATCTTTTTCCAAATATTTAAAAATATATATTTTGAAAATATTTTTATTATTAACAAGTATAGATAATAAAAGTGTAGAAGCAAAAATAATATTTGCCCTTAACTCACATACTCAGATATTTACTCATAAACATTCTGTATATTTTTCCTTTTTGAATGATTGTGTTTGTATACAGATAGCCTTCACAAATGTCACTGACACATACTGAGTAACATGACTAAAATATCTATAGGAACTAGATTAGTTGGATGTGATAGTACCACGAAATAGAAGGGTTAATGTTACTTTATTGGTCTATGAAAATATGGCATTTCTTTTTACAATATCAAAATAAGTCTAGCTGAATTAAGGTAAAGGTAAAGCCCTCCCGTTAATCATCGATTTGCTCGAGCGGGCCCAGTAACGTCTCCATTGGAGACTTTGTTGTTACTGTGTCTGGCATATCGAATACGTCACGGGGAGCTTGCCAGGCCCTGCCGTGCGGGCGAGATACTCTCGGTAGCTTGCCGGGCTCTCCGAGAGGGGCAGAGGAATCGAACTCGGGTCGGCCATGTTGGCCGCTTGTAAGGTGAACGCCCTACCGCTGTGCTATCGCTCCAGCTGAATTAAACACAATTATAAAATTTACTTTATACATATTTTTACTTCCTTCTGCCTTCTAAGGACTTTTTTCCTATATACATAAAGTCAAAGACTTCCATTCCGCATAATTACAACTTCACTATATTCCTCAGTATTCCAGACATTTCTTCAGAAGTGTTATTTCATTCCCTAGTTACAGTAACTGCAAGATTTGGAATCGGACATTCAGCAGTTTTCCAATCCAGGATATATTTGGTTAAGGCACATACTTGACAATGCTCAGGGGTTACTCTAAGCTCTGCACTCAAGAATTACTCCTTGCAGTGTTCAGAAGGCCAAAGGGGATACTCTGGATAGAACCTGAATGCAAGATAAAAACTCCATCCGCTGCACTGTGGCTCTCTTTTCACTGCTCCCTGTCTCTCAGATCTGCATGATCTGCATTATCCACAGTAAGGACACAAGTCTTTCCACCTCATTCCATTGGGCCCAGCTGAACAGGGTAATGTGTGGTAGATTTTCACTCAGAGTGGATTACTTAAATGTCCAACGAGGAGCAGATACTACAGTTCCTAAGTACTTTAGTCACCAGCTTGGGATGCCTCACTATTTCTGGAAAAAAAAAATCTCATTCCTTCTCCATAATCTAAGAGTTCCAACACTTTTTCCTTTAGACAATCAGGGTAAAACCCAAAGCTTTTGTTTCTTTATTAGAACCAATAATACCTGAATGGTTTTAACCATCCTCATCTAAACAAATCTATATTTCTAAGAACATGGTTCTCCCAAGATAAATCCTGCATTTCCTTAGAACTCACCACTCCTTTGTTTTTTCAGCTTGTTTTTGAAGTAAAAAAATTCCCCTCTACTGTTTAGAATAAATAATTAAGGAACAAAGTGGTACAAGTTATTGTATTAAAAACATTTTAGAGAGGGCTGAAGCTATAGTACAGCAGGTAGGAAATTTGCTTTGCACGTGGCCATCAGGTTCGATCCCCTGCATCCCATATGCTTCCCCGACCACTGCCAGGAGTAGTTCCAGAGTGCAGAGCCAGGAGTAACCCCTGTCCATCGCTGGGTGTGACCCAAAAAGCAAACAAACAAACAAAAACTTTTTTAGAATGTAAAACACTCAATGGGCTGGAGCGATAGCACAGCGGTAGGGCGTTTGCCTTACAAGCGGCCAACATGGCTGACACGAGTTCAATTCCTCCGCCCCTCTCAGAGAGCCTGGCAAGCTACTGAGAGTATCTTGCCCGCACGGCAGAGCCTGGCAAGCTACCCATGATGTATTCGATATGCCAAACACAGTAACAACAAAGTCTCATGATAGAGACGTTACTGGGCCCGCTCAAGCAAAATCGATGAACAACGGGAGGACCGTGACCGTGAAAACAATCAATGAGTACTGTGCTTTTTAACAATGAAAACAGTCAATGACTAATGTCCATTTTAAACATCTTTTATTATAATAATTGCTGTCAGAATCTCTATTATACTTATTTGGCCATTTTCCTTGATGCAAAGTAAGCACGGGGTAAATTTAATTTCTGAAACAATCATTTGGAGTCAAATGTGATTAGAACATATGGGTTGGAAACAGGTGTTAATATGCTTCAAATAAATTCTTAACTTCGAAAGTAAATTCTTATTGAAATAACGTTTTATTACGAAGTTTTGATACACATTATATTAGTCCACATTGGCACTACCTTTATCTTTGTAAAGAAAGTAGTAGATATTTTTGTATCCCATTCCAATTGTTGCAGATTACACACAAGTTTGTTCTTCACTGCTTTGAAATTATTGGATAAAATGCCCTGATTAATGAAATGTAAGAGAAGCACATATTAGTACATCATAAATAACAAATGTTATTTTGGGGGATCACACTGAGTGGTGCTCAAGACTCACTCCTGGTGGGCTCTGGGGATCACATGGGGTGCCAGGGATTAAGCCAAGGCAAGTTATGTCCAAAGCAAACCCACTGTACTATTGTTGCTCTGACTCCACAAATATTTACTTTGAAAACAATTTTGAGAAATATCCCATCAGATCCACTAGGAGGCTGAAGGGTCCTATAGTATTTAGGAGTTAAAAATTTTCCAAAAGCCTCCTCACTCCACCTACACTTTACATGCAGGAGGCATGGATCCAATTCCAGAAACCACAGTCCCCTAAGCACCTTGCTGGGAGTAGCCTCTGAGCACTGCTGGATGGAGCTCTCAAAATAAAATTAAGAAAACAAGAAACTTCAAAAAGTTTAACTGCTATGGCACTTTAAGTAAGTTTACAGTCTTTCATCATGCCAAAATTCACCAGATTTTCATTATTTGGTTATTCCCTTTCTAGTGTGACCTTAATTAAATGCCTAAGTGCCTTAGTCCCTAAAAGTAAAATGGAGATAACTTTCCTTACTGGAGTTACTGTGCAAATCAACTATTTTGTTCAAGAATGCTTACAACAGTTTCTAACCTATGAACAGTATTCTCACTTATCTTTTATGGGAAAACAAATTGCATAGTTGAAATTCTCCACATCTCATGTTACTATGGTGGGGAGCCTCTTAGCCTTGTCAAATGTGTCCTTGCCAATAATAACTATGGTGGCTTGTTGGACTAAGGAGAGTAATTATGGGTCATGACAGTTTTTCTACGAGTGTTAGTTGCTTTAGATGGAACTGTTGGTCAATTGAGAAAAACTTTATATCAAATACTGTAATTTTTTCAAGTTTCTTGATATCTAAGAAACCTTAGCTTTCCTGTCTATATATGCTAGATATAAAATAATTTCTTCCTTAGTTATAATAATTAAATGATTTGGACAAGAATCCATGGAAAATGAGCCCTGTAAATATTAGCAACTTCATTTGTCTTCTTCTCTCTATATTTCTTATAATCCTCTCTTTCTGTGAAAAACTGTTACTTGGATTTAGTGGATTGAAAGAAAACTACAATTGAAAAGAAAGCTCTCTCCTAATGAACAACTTTCTTCTACTTTATAGAGGAAATTACCCAACTTGGCCTTATAAGAAAGGTTCTACTTGTAGTGCCTGCCACAAAAATGACATGTGTTTGGACAATCTCTGTGGTAAGTAATATGAAAACTTTACCGATAATGCAATATGATCAAAACCAAGTTCCTAGTATCTACAGAACTAGAACACAAAATTTGTTTTGTACTAAAAGCTATTTTCAGGAAATTCCACAACAGTCACCAAACAAAATGTTATAGGATTCCAGGAATAAATATATGGTTAAGATAAATTGAAAAAAAGCAATTCATATTCTTTTATTTACTTCCAATATGTAAAACAACCAAAGAAATGATATATTGGAAATTGTGGACCTAACATTTGCTAATTCCCTCAAGATAAAAATAAGGTTAACAACAAAAATCCAAATTCTGTAATACTGCCTGTGTAAGGGATTCAAAGCTAGATCTCGATTTGGAAAACTTATTTTGTGAAATTAAGCTGCAACATGGTAATTTTTATTAGTAAGACAGCCACTTAATATCAGTGAAGGTCAAAGATGGAAAAATAAAACCAATTTTGATGAGAATGAGGCAGTTAAACTAAAAATAACACTTATTGTTTTACTGAATAATTGTACTATAATTATATACAATCAGATAATTGCCCCACTAAACTCTAAGTAAATAGGAATTGTCTATAATTTCTATAAATATAGAGAAATTAGAAATATAGAAAAATAGACATATAAATATGGATAAATTTTGTATATAAATTTGGATGTAATTTTGTATGTCCAATGTGTCTAATCTGGACAAATAAATACTATTTTGAGCACATTTCTTAAGTCACTTTCCTTCAAAAATCCCAGTATGGACTAGGAAGATAGCACAGTGGGTAGGGTGCTTGCCTTGCATGCAGCTGACCAAGGTTCAATCCCTGGCACCCCAAATGGTTCCCCAACACTGCCAGGAGTGATTCCTGAGCATAGAGCCAGGAATATGCCTGGAACACTGCTTGGTGTGGCCCCCCAAAATATAAAGATTCTGGATAAAAAATACCACCACCAGATTCTATCAAGAAGAAAATTGCTGTCATTTTAAACTTTTCACTTTGGCAATCCAGCCTTAGATGATCTCTAACTAATCTTGTGGGACAAAAATCCAAAAACAAAGACTAAGGTCCAATAATGAAAAGCCCTGAACTCTTAGAAAAGATTAAGGAAAAATGCTAACATGAATGAAGGATATAGTTACAAGGAGAAAAAAATTGCATTTAACAGATTCCTTCTGAAAGATAATGAGTACGGGAAGAAAGGTAATTCTTGGTTCTTTAGAAATGATTGGCATTGTAGCAAATCCTCATGGAAGCCAAACAGGATGATTTTGTAAAACATGCTGAGCATATGGTATGGCAAGATGATTTTAGCTAGTGCACAGATGTTACATTTTTCAAGAAAAATGTAACAACACATTATATCCTTGATTTCATGTCAAGGAAGAGGCAGCAAATGGCAGCATCATGCTAACTCACCGTAGATAAAACCAACGACTAGTTCCATCTGAGGATAGCTACTTGTTAGTTACCATTCCAGTAATTGCTGAACTGGTGTGGAAAGCATATCTAAGAAAAATATCCAAAAAGCTAATGCAAATCAGGAACTTTCTTGCTAAGGCTCTGGTCAAAATCTGTAAAAAGACCACGGCAAAAGAATTACGACTTTCTGAGACTCAAATACCCATGGACAAGAGGCCATAGTCATTTATTACTGACAAATCAAAATGGTATCATTCTATAGAAAAACTTATTTTCAAAAAAATATTTCAGTAATGATATTACTATTAACATTGTGGGCTGGAGCGATAGCACAGCGGGTAAAGCATTTGCCTTGCACATGGCCGACCCGAGTTTGATTCCTCCGCCCCTCGGAGAGCCCAGCAAGCTACTAAGAGTATCTTGCCCGCATGGCAAAGCCTGGCAAACTCCCCGTGACGTATTCGATATGCCAAAAACAATCACAAGTCTCACAATTTGTTGTGAGACATTACTGGTGCCCGCTCGAGCAAATTGGACAACAGGAGGACAGTGCTACAGTGCTAACATTGTAAAATTCCAATAATTTCATTTTAATTGGATTTACTGTCGCTAGTTATGGTGTATAATGATTTTCCATTTATAGTAATGGTATATAAAATCAATCAAATGTATAATGTGCATATAAAGTGTTTAGAAGTTAACAATGCTGGTATACAAATTCTTGAATATGCTCTGAAATTCATTATAATAAAGCAAAAGGCACAGTTAATGGTCATAACTTGGACGCTTGCTTTTTAAAATGAATGTCTCACAAATACCTACTCTGAATTTTTTTCTTTTGACTTTACAGCCAACCCCCAGCGAGACAAAGTTTCACGTACGTATAGCAACTTTAAATACTTTCATCAAATCCTATGTGAAATGTAAGAAATAACATTGTAAGAAATAACATTTAAGAGAATATTTTTGTTTGTTCCACAGGTTACTACTCTCTTATGTTTCCAGACTGGCCAATATATTCACGTAACAGATACACATCTCTATTTCTCATCATTAATCCACCAATTATAATACTGAGTGTTATAATTACCATTTTTGTGAAGCGCAAATACCCTCATTTAACTCTTTTGGGCTAATAAATCCAGAAAAAAAGAACCTCGTTCATGTGTAAATTTTCTGTATTTATAAAAGAAAAAAAAACCATTATTACAAATCCTCAAAGAAACTTCTCAGAACAAATTCCACTTTTCACTTTTTTCTTTTATGGGCTCCAACCGGTAGTACTCTGGGCTTACTTTTGGCTCTGTGCTCAGGGATCACACCTGGGGGTGCTTAGGAGAACGGATAGTGTGCTGGGGATCAAATTCAGATTGGCTGCACTGAAGGCAGGCCATCTACTTTCTCACTCTTATCAGGTTGCCAGAGCTGGGACCCCACTAAATAACCTAGTGTCTCTCCTTTGAAACTAGTAAAACCAGTATTCTTGACTTAGTTGGTTCTAAGCTCCACTGACAGCACTGTGAAACTATATCCACACAACTTGCTGCATGCTAGCAACCAAACCCTGTCTGGTTTTCCCTGCTCTCTTGGCAACATGATGTCTTTCTTTTTGGTTACCTTTCCCCAGACTCAGAATAGAAGCAATTATGGGACTTAAAAGAACTTGTTTTGGTTTTGCTTATAAAGTATATAACCTTAGAACAAAATACTGAGATTACCAAACTGTAAGTTGAAATGTTTCCTTACTATTTTTAGACAGTAAGAACACTTAAAATTGATGTTTTATTCAAAACTGGATGTTGGGACAGTTACATATAAAGACTAATCATTCTTATCAGACACTGGATTTTCTATACAATTACAACAGTCATATTTCAAAAAATCATTTAAATAACCTAAAGAATTATTCATGCAATCATGCTTTGGCAAAAGCTGACTAGAGCAGATTAAATGTCAGGTATACAAAGATATATTCATTTTCTAGTATGAAAAATTCATAAACACATATAGAATAATTTATTACAACTCAAAAAAAGTCACATAGAAATACAAAACTCAGAAAAGTTGATCAGAGTATTCTCAAATATTGGGCAACCAATGCCTTGTTATTTTAAAATCCTTTACAAAAGGAGTTATTTTAGTAAGTTCCTGTTCAGAGTTTGGATTTTCTTTTATTTTTTTTTCTTCTTTTTCTTTTCATCTGCTTCCATTTTAAGCTTAACTTCTTCAGCTGAGAGAGCTCCCAGTTTCTTATTCTTTGCTTTTTTAACCTTTTCTTTAAGAGCAGCCACATCAATTTTAGTTTCGACAGAAGCTAAATAAAAAACACAATACATGGAACTCATTAGGTTCTGCCAAATGAAACAGTTACTTATGATAAAATATCCATTTAATACAATAATATCAGGGTACTGGTGTAAGTGAAATAACATGATATAATACACAAAGCACTCCCTAGAGAAAAGTTAGAAACTTCTTCATATTCAGAACAAATCAGGAAGAAGTACTGCAGATCCCCCAATATTGCCAATTTGCTTGAATGTACTTGTACTTTTATTCACTTCATACCAGTCAGGAATGTACTTTCCTTATTAATATTATAATAAAATTAAGTAGAATGAAACAAAGTGATCTGAAGACCTGTTTCTCTCATAACTTCTCTTTAAATAATTTCACTTAAAATGGGAGTTTCGAAGAACATATCAATAGGTTAGGTGAGAACTTAAATGAACTTCCATTAAATATCAATGTCACGATTAGTCACGATCCTCCCGTTGTTCATCGATTTGCTCGAGCGGGCCCAGTAACGTCTCCATCATGAGACTTGTTGTTACTGTGTTTGGCATATCGAATACGTCACGGGGAGCTTGCCAGGCTCTGCTGTGTGGGCGAGATACTCTCGGTAGCTTGCCGGGCTCTCTGAGAGGGGCGGAGGAATCGAACTCAGGTTGGCCATGTTGGCCACTTGTAAGGCAAACGCCCTATATCAATGTATTTTATCATGTATTTAATTAATTTTTTTTTTTTGCTTTTTTGGGTCACACCCTGCCATGCACAAGGGTTGCTCCTGGCTCTGCACTCAGGAATGACTCCTGGCAGTGCTCAGGGGACCATATGGAATGCTGGGAATCAAACCCAGGTTGACCGCATGCAAGGAAAACGCCCTACCCGCTGTGCTATCGTTCCAGTCCTAGCTTAAGTAGATTTAAAGTCTCCACTATAGTGGAAAAACATTTTAAACCATTAACTGAAACTAAACTAGATATTGAATATCTCAATGGTACTTAACAAATTGTATAGAAAAGATATCATGCATTCACCATTGTTTATATATTTCTTGGTTTTGGGAATATGCCCAGCAATGATGAGGGATTACCCCTGGCTATACAATCAAGAATTACTCCTGATGTACATTTATACAATGGAGTACTATGTAGCTCTTAGAAAAGATGAAGTCATGAAATTTACATACAAGTGGTACTACATGGAAAGTATCATGTTAAGCTAAATGAGTCAGAAAGAATGGGATAGACACAGGTAGATTGCATTCATCTGGGGAACACAAAGTAACAAAATGGGAGACTAACACCCAGGAGTGGCCAAGATTAGTACCAGGAATTTTGCTCCATGACTTGGAGGCCAGCCACACATGCTAGGGGAAAAGGCAGCTCAGATAGAGAAGGGAGCACCAAATAAAGGATGTTGGGAGGATCCTCCCAGGATGGGAGAAGCATGCTGAAAGTAGACTAGAGACCAAACATGATTGCCACTCAATACCTCTCTTGCAAACCACAGAACCCAAAAGGAGAGAGAGAGAACAAAAGGGAATGCCCTGCCACAGAGGCAGGGTGGGATGGGGGGATGGGGTGTGGGAGCGATGCTGGGACCCGTGATGGTGGAGGATGGGTGCTGGTGGAGGGATGGGTACTTGATCATTGTATAACTGAAACCCAAGCACAAAAATTTGTATGTCTATAACTGTACCTCATGGTGTTTCAATAATTAAATTAATTAATTTTTTTAAAAAAAGAATTACTCCTAGAGGTGCTCAGGACCATATGAGATGTTGGGAATCAAATCCCAGCTCGCCATGTGCAAGGTAAGTTTCCTACCCACTGTATTATGGCTCTGACCCCAGCTTTTAACATTTTAAACTTTTATATAATCTATGGGCTGGAGTGATAGCACAGCGGGTAGGGCGTTTGCCTTGCATGCAGCCAACAGGCTGACCCGAATTCGATTTCTCCACCCTCTGGGAGAGCCCGGCAAGCTACCGAGAGTATCTCGCATGCACGGCAGAGCCTGGCAAGCTACCCATGACGTATTCGATATGCCAAACACAGTAACAACAAAGTCTCACAATGCAGATGTTACTGGGCCCGCTCAAGACAATCGATGAACAATGGGAGGGCAGTGACATATAATCTATGACCGACAGAAAGGATTTTAGTATTTGGGGAATGGACCATACCCAGCTGTGCTCTGGGATTACTCCTGGTGGTGCCTGGTGACCACATGCAGTCTTAGGGACCAAAGTGGGGTCATCTGTGTGCATGGCAAGCACCTTAACTCCTTGCACCATCTTTCTACTGACCCAGGAATTTAGTATTCTAAAGCTCCTAATACTAATCCAATATAAAATACCTAAAAGGCACCAAAGCAGCACTTTGTATCGCCTTTATGTTACATACAGTGCAGTTGGTGACCTCCCCTCCCCTAACTTTGCCACTAGGTACTTTTAAGAGTTACTGGAGAAAGAGTATTGGCTTTATGGAAAAGAAAACGCAAAAAAAGGAGAGAGTGGATCAAAATGAGCTATAAAAAGAAAGGAAGAAAGGGTAGAAAAGTGTTTTCTCAAAGTGTCTTTTTAGTGCTTGTAAGACAGATTTTTTCTGTTATTTCATTAGTGTCCTTCAGCCCAAATGAGAATCCCATGTTAATAATACAGGAATCTTGGGGGCTAGAGTGATAGTACAGCAGGTTAGGGTGCTTGCTTTATAATCAGCCAACCGAGGTTCAAACCCCAGCATCCCATATGGTTCCTTGAGCACCAGTAGGAGTAATTCCTGAGCTAGGAATAAGTCCTGACCAGGTATGACCTCCCCACAAAACAAACAAACAAAAAGAACCAAATGTTAAGCCATAGATCACTTAAGAAAATCAAAGCACAAGTCCTAAAAAAACATTTTTGCTGGGGGCTTGGAGATGCAGCAGCAACTCCCAAGCAGTGCTCACAGGTCCAAGGGCACCACTGGAGACTCTCTGCCAATGGGCTGAGAATATGATGCAACACCAGGTGGGTGTTGGGGACTTCCAGGACACACACAGTGGTGCTTGGGAGACCCTGCAGTGCCAAGAATTGGACCTGGGTAGAACACTTGCTAGGTATGCGCCATAGACGCTGTACTGTCTCCCGGCCCCTGACAAGCTCTTTTTAAGAATGTGTTCGAGAACCAGAATCTCACTGCTTAGTTATTCAATTTCGATAAGATTCACCACTCAGATTTATACCTTTCACAACAATCTTTCTAAAGAATGCTCAGTGGTCTCATGATACGATTTATTCTTCAAAACCTACGAGAAAGTGTGCTACTCATATACTACAAAACTAAGTTATTTCAGCTGAGCCTTGTTTTGAGAATTAGTAATTAGTAAAATGTTGAACTGACGGAATAATTATTTCTTAACGTAACATTAAAAAGAGATTCAGATAAGTTCACTATGGATTTACTTCTTAGTAGACATTTATGTCATACCAAAAGCTGATAAACAGGCATTACCTTGCTTAGGCTTCACAACTGGCTTCTCTTTAGGTGGAATAAAAGCTTTGTTTCTCTCTTCTTGTCTCTTAGTGAGGGCTTCTGCTTGTTTAGCCTGTATTATTAATAAAAATTTTTAAAAACACAATTCATAAGGGCTCAAGTTTCTATCAATTTTTCTATTAAAAATTTTGTAAAATAGTCCTACCTTTATTGCTTCCATTTTCTGCCGTTTCTTTTGACTTGCCTTCAAAAAGTATTCACCACTAGCCAATTCTTTATCAATCTGTTGAAATAAGAATTTGCAATTACATCAGAAATAATGAAGGCAAGAAGTTATTACCTAAGAAAGTTATAACATTGTTGAGGTAAGAACAACTGGTGTCAAAATCCACAATTAATTTTAAAGCTAGTGACAATGAAGGAACTATATCTAAGCTGACAACAGCATGAAGCAAGGAGGTGATAAGCTCAGCGTCCTTAACACTGTTTCGGGTGGCGTGAAAGGCCTATGATGCAGAAAGTGTGTGAGGGAGCTGGAAAGATAGCTTTGGGAAAACTTAAAGAAACCTGAATGTCAGGAAAATGAGAAGGAGAATGATTTAGAAAATGACTGAACATTTCTGCCAAGATGAAGGTCTCAAAGCACAATAATTTATAAGAACAGAAAAACAGGGAAAAAAGATAAAAGCCTGTTATAAAGACAACAGGATGCAGTGTGTCATTAAAAAAAGACTTGGTCAATATTTGGTGACTATATACTAATTAGAAAAATAGTCGACATACATAACTGATCTCATTCTTACTGAAGTGATATTATCATAAGCCAACGTTCTGAATTCATTTGTGTTTTTGGATGACACCTGGTGATGCCCAGGGATTACTTCTGGCTCTGTACTTAGAAATTACTCCTGGCAGTGCACAGGGACCATATGGGATGCCAGGAATCGACCCCGGCTGTCAGCTGCGAGCAAGGCAAGCATGCTACCAACTGTACTATCTTCCAGCTCCTGTTCTGAATTTTTTTTTTTTTTTATGGTGAAAGAAAATCTGTATTTAGGATTAGCCAGCTGGATTGCTTAGATGATCCCAATTTTGTTGGCAATATCAAGGTATAATAGTCAGGAGCCAGCCCAACATATGCCTTTTTCTCTCTGTCAGGCCTAATCAGGATGTTGGCTTTGGCCACAGCTATGTCATAGAGTGTCTTCACGGCCTGTTTAATCTGGTGCTTGTTGGCTCTGCCATCCACAGTGAGCACAAGTGTGCTATTATCTTCTATCTTCATGGCTGACTCAGTGCCCAGAGGGACCTTGATGATGGCATAATGGCCAAGTTTGTTTTCTCCTGGGGGTACTCTTCAGAGGGTATTTTGGCTGCCTTCTGAGTTGCAAAGTTTTGTGTCTTTGGAGGTGGGTAAAGTGCGGATCTTTTGCTTTTTGTGGCTGTGAACTCCTTTCAGTACTGCCTTCTTGGCCTTCAAAACCTTGGCTTTGCCTTCAACTTGGGGGGGGGGGAGGTTCAGGGGGCTTCCTTCTTGGCCTCCAGAACCATCTTTGTAAAAAGCTGTTTTGAATTATTTAGAGTTGCAGGTCTTTGCAGTTAGTAATGCGTTTGACCTTCATTAACAATTCTTTAACAGGCAGTAAAATAATCCCCATTTTATGTATAAGGAAGCTAAAGCACAGATTAAATAAATTATCTAGACACATGGCAAATGGCAAAATAAGTCAACATAGGTATCCCTGTTTCAAGAAACTTAAATTCCTAGTGGGTAAAGATAAGTATTAACTACTAGTTCCAGGACAGGACCAGAGTATTAAAGCACCTGCTATGTTCTATTCACTGGCCTGCTCAACTTCCTTCAGCCATCAGTTTCCTTCTAGCCTCGCTGACTTCCCTTTCTCATGACCTCATGATCCAGCACTGTGAGTTTTTCGACTAGATAATTTAAGTTTCATTTTATCCCCCTGACCTTTCACCAAACCTTCTGCGAGACACTCACTGAGATGGATGGGTTTATAGGCTGAACGCAAAGAACTGGTTAAAAAGATCTTAAAACACAGCAGACAGGGAAGAACGAACATAGAAGGAAAAAATGAGGAAAGATGAGGAGGAACATGAAAGATTTCTCACCTGAAAGTCTCAAGTAATTCAAGTAAAATAAAATGCAGGATTACCTCTTGGGTGTGGAAGGATGATGAGAAAATTAAAATGACATGCTGAACTGACAGACAACATTGAGGACTTATCCCATTTACAGTGGCTATAATCCAAAGAGATGATTTGTGCCAGCTACATTTGGCTCAAATTTTGAAATCAAGTTTTTAAAATTAAGGTATGTCTGAAATCAAGTTTCAGAACTAAGCCACATTTGGGGTAGGAGGTGGAGAACAGGAGAAAAATAGAATGATTTTGGAAAATAAATGAAGCAGTATTACAGTAAGAGTATTAGAATTTTAAGATTTCAAAAGTAGAATAGTCATATGCACCAGCTCACAGGAATTATGCTATATCAGTAGAGAATTCAATTAAATTCTTTACCCACGGAACATTTACAGTGACTCCATGGACACAACTGTCAGGAACCATCTTCACATGGTTTGAACTCAGTGAAGTAGTCCCAGGCTCAATTTACAAAGTAAGTTTAACTTAAAAAGTTTCTTAGGGGTCAGCACTATAGTTCAGTGGGTAGGGTGCTTGGACGTAGTCAACCTGGGCTCAATCCTTGGCACTACATAAGGTCCCCCAAAACAAACAATTTTGGGGATTGAAATGGATTTGAAGATACTCAGAATTTAATACTAACCTGACTTTCTGGCTGTGGTGGTGGGAATGGTGTATACTCTTTTTTAACAGTTTTCTTCTTTGGCTCCTTCCGTTTATTCACATTTTTGTGCTTGAACTGCGGCAAAAATCTTTCCCAACTTTGTGATCTTAATTCAGAGTCCTTCGCTAACTCTCGTTTAATCATTAACGTCTGTAATCACAGCAATATATGAACAAAGTAAAAGACTTTTATTTCACAAGTCTAGATTTATCAGTCTTCTTGCAAACTAATACAATTAAAATTAGTTCCTTCTCTCAATAGGACTAAACCTATTTCCTAAAGAAAAAAAAAAACCCACAATCTCAAAATAGATATTTAACCAAGTTTCAGGTGTCCATGAGAAATTTAGTTAAGAAATGAGGAGCTGTGGACCCAGAGAGATAATACAGCAAGAAGAGAGCTTGCCTTGCATGTGACAGGTTCAATTCCTGGTACCCCATGTGGTTCCCAGAGAACTACTACCTATTTCTTTTCTGGAACACCTAGATACTGCTTAGGCAATCAAAAAATTAAATAACGACATAATGTTTATAACTAATACCTGATAAAAAATTACTTGGAGTAATTCCTGAGTGCAGAGTCAGAAGTAACCCCTGAGCACTACACGGTGTGTCCCTGCCCTCATCCCCCAAAAAAGAAACGAGGACTTGTCCAGAGATAAAAGTGACTAATCTCCTAAACCAGTATTTCATTAAAACCTTAAATTAAAATTCAATTTATCAGAAAGGGAGAATCCTTAAATAGTTATGTTCCCTGTAACCTCAATAGCAACTGTGATATAAAGAAGAAAAAAAAAAACGTAAGTTTTCTGATGATCAAACCAATATTCTCACCTTTCCCCTATTTGAACTTTATGGATTAGCTATGAGAAGCATGATCAGATAGCTTTAATGTCCCAATAAAACTCAAAAATCATTCTTTCACCTCAACAGAACAGTGCTCTCCAAACTTTACTTAAGCAAACTTAAATTGCTTATTCAATAATTATCCACTGCTCATTAAACTACCGTAGAATTTGAAATATCCCTAAGTTTCTTTAACAGAAAAAGACAGAGTTCTAAAACGTCGCATCTTTAGAGCTGGATTGATAATCTACAACAAATTCTATGCAATGCATTTTCTTTGCTTTAGATTATTTAAATTATGCTATAATTTTCCCTTCAGTGGTTTTCAAACAGTTCTCAAAACTTAAAAGCTTCCAAGGGAGAGGTAGAGTTGAAGGGGCTGAACTCTACCTCTAATTTGCCCAAAATAACTTTTACTTGTTTTATATATTAGGCTTTCATAAAAGGATTTGATTTTAAGACAAGTTTCTGCAGTACAAAAACTGGCACAGATATAGTAGTACACAATTAACACTCACTTTAATGTTATAAATTGGATGAATATTCTTCATAGTATCTAGGACCACTTTTCGAACCTGAATTTGCAAAGAAAAATGAAATCAGTCACATACAGGTTTTAATGAACTAGACAGCAGAGGATTACAGGCAGTGGCAACCGAATCAATAGAACAGCTCCTTCAATTATTCAGAGTAGCATCCAGAGTTTTCCTAAGAATCGATCTCCCATAGACTCATTACGTTTCTTAAGTTTACTGTACTTAAATAGTATTACAAAGAACCAATATAACACACTAACACTGTTCAACGTTGGGGGGGGGGCAAAATTTAGTTAGAAAAGTAGGCTCAAATAATGAACCTACCAATTCAAATGGGAAAGTCACTTCAATTTTCTGTTCAATCTTTTTCCTTTGTAATAGGGAAATAAAACTATTTCAAGAAATTACTACAAAACTGAACAAATTGGGAAAAATATATATTCAAAATTTTTTGCTCGAGCGGGCCCAGTAACGTCTCCATTGGAGATTTTGTTGTTACTGTGTTTGGCATATCGAATATATCACGGGTGGCTTGCCAGGCTCTGCCGTGCGAGCATATTTAATTTTGAACTCTGAGAAAAAGGTAGATAGTTTTTAGAAAGAAAGTCTACAACAGAATTACTCTTCTACTGAAAAGGAAGCAAGACTTCACAGTCAATCTGACAACCAACAACACAGTTAACAGGAACAGTTTCCACTCCCCTTGCCTCCTCCAATCCCTTCCTCTCCTCTCCCTTTTCTGAACCACATAGGTACTGCTTAGGTGGTCAAAAAATTAAATAACTACATAATGTTTATAACCAGTCTGCTTATCTGATAAAAATTAGCTCTTACCTCTTTTAAGCCACTAAAAGGTCCAATGGCTGAAACTGTGTTTCCCTGAACCATAATGTAACAGTTCGTTAAAAGTTCCAAGGCCTAGATCCAAAAAATATGTTGAAATTCAATTTACTGAAAAACCAGTGATGGAGGAAAACTTTCAGAAAGTTTTCTACCAGTGAAAAAGTACCTTCAGTGTAGATCCTTTGGGACCAATAAGCCTTTGTCTTCTTTTCACAAATCTTTCTTTATTTCGTACTAAGGATCCTATTTTAATGATGTCACACGCAACATCATCCTGCAGAATTCGCACTGCCTTTTGGGAAAGTAAAGAAAATTTTCACAAATATTACTCCCACCCCATTCCCCAAGTATAGGCTAAGACTATTTAAAAACAGAAATGAAAACTCCATGGAAAAAAGGGGGCAGAGATGAAAAAACCACAGGCTAACACTAATACTGATGTAAATAAAGCAAAATTTCTGTAATTCTGAGCTTGCCTGTTCAAATGAAACGCTTCTTGCTAAGAGTTTTATCAGGTCCCTGGCCCGAATGATGATATACGGATCAAAAGTCTTCTTTGTTGTACAAACAGTCATGCTGCCCTCGATCAAATCAAGTGTTGCATTAACATGCTACAAAAAAGAAAGAGTAAACAATTTTCAAAATGAGAATTCAATAGCAGATATTTAGAGCCTATTCTACCAAAATACTAATTTCTATAGTATTATCTCTCACATTTCATCAACTCCCTCCCTAAAAAAGCTATGTAATTAATACAACACTTGATTGCTTTTATATTCCAACATGAGACATTTATATTGCTTTAAGACAGTTTTATTTACATAGGGAAGTTAGGTCAACTTCAAAAAACATTTGGGAATTATACATTCAATGATAATCTGATTCAGTGAGAGCAGACTTTCCCCTGGAAACAAATTTCCTTCTATTTGGCTTATATTAAGCACAAAGTGAAAACAAATTATTTGAAGTTCAGAAAAAGTTGTAAGATGATAATTATGCTTTAATTTCTCAGTAGAATGACCCGGATTTCAATATAGTCAGTAAAAATGTTATTTTCTGACTTGGAAATATAATATAAAGAGTATCTCAGTATATTGAGTAACAAACAATTTAATATAAGGTTGGGTCTCTACAGTTTACGAGACTTGAATCCAATCTTAAATAACCACAAAATCCTAGACAACCACAAAATAGTTTGTAGTAAACTGAATTAATCTCATTTACAATGGGCAATTTCATTTACAGCACAGTCCCAGAACACACACACACACACACACACACACACACACACACACACGCACACACGCTTTATAAAAGTTATTCTTCCCATGTCTTATATATTGAATTTTTTAAGGCTTCTTTATACTAAACTAATTTCTGAATAGGGTTCATCCCATAATTTGCAAAACAAAAACACATTGCTCTAGCAAGAAGCAGCAGCAGCAAACAAGAGAAAGTTGGGCACATTTACTTCTATCTTTTAAAATAAGAAATTAAGAAATTAGTCAAAAAGATTCCTCAGGAAAAACTGCACAGGAACATGACAACTACCAGCAGAGTGGCATTTGGGAATCCGGATTCACCCTTACATTTCAAATACAGTTTTTCAAAAACATTCTACTACAAAATTAAAAACAAATTTTGAAATAAGAATAAAGCTACCCAGCCTGTTTAAATACCAAAGACAACCAGATACTAGTATCTTAAAATAAATTCATTTGCACACATCAACCTATCTGAAAGAAAACTATTCACAAGAGCAAAAGCTCAAAGAAATACACGAATTATGCATACATGTTCATTCAAAGCCTTCTGTACCAATGGCCAGCACTCTTTCAAGTAAGCCTCTCTGTATTTGGGGAATAAAGTTGCAAAACTGCTCTCTTCCAACAGCCCTCTGGGATTGTCATCTTTGGAAAATGCTGGTTCCTTCCAACCATCAGGTACAGTAAGTAGTTCTGATTCATCTGCAGAGGGGAAAAACATACACAGCAAATTTTAACTGCCATTTTTTGAATATCCACATAAGTACAATTTTTCCTATACTATCTTTACTTTTCCTTTCCCCCTGCATTTAATATCATGAAACAAGTAACATGCGGGTCTGGAGCAATAGTATAGCAGGTAGGATATTCGCCTTGTGTGCAGCCAACCGGAGTTCAATCCTCAGCATCCCATATGGTTGCCCGAGCACTGCCGGGAGCAATTCCTGAGTGCACAGCCAGGAGTAACCCCTGAGCATCGCCGGGTGTGACCCAAAAAGCAAAATAAAAATTTAAAAATAAAATAAAAATACTTAAAAAACAAGGAACATGTTTCTGTCATTATCATCAACACACACATAAAAATTATTTGCCTATATTTCAGCGGCTTCACAAAACAAAATTTCTTGAAGGGAAGGACATCCTTCTTTGGACCCGCAAGGTAGTGGACACTCAAAGCTATATCGTACCACACTATCTTAAGAGTTGCAGATTCAAGTATAATTTCATTTACAAGCTTATTTTAGTAAGAAATCTAAGTGACCTTTGGACTTTCCTATAATACAAAAATTCCATTCCTGTAGCTATATGTGTGTACACAATGTAAAATATTTAAAACTGATACTTTAAGTGATGAATAATTGCTATTTGGTGTTACACTCCAAAAACCGCTCACATTTTCACTATAATGTATACTCTTATGTTAAGTTATGAAAGAATGGAAGAACCAGTGTTTTTATTCCATTTAAATAAAAGACATTCAATCCAAAAAGATGATGTGATTTGCAAGGTTCATCAGTTCAGTCTCTTTTCACCAATACAAAATACCTCCTTCGATCTGCAATCCGTATCATAACCTCTTACTTCATTCATTAAGACTCCTGGTGCTTTTAAGAATTTCTTATCTTTAAGTGAAGTAAATTGTTTTAATTTAAATAGAATTTCTCTAAGCAAAGGAAGGAGGGAAAAAGAGAGAGAGAGATACATGTTCAAGAGAGAACATGGGCTTCTCCAGAGGGGAAAAAGCAAAAAAATTTCTTAAATCCAATAGTTACACCTCATAGAGAACTACTCAAAGATGTGATCCACACCCGGAAGATCAATATAAACTAAGTTTGTTAGAAAAAAATGAGCTCCACTCCAGGCCCACTGAATCTGCATTCCTGGAAGGAAGCCCAGAAATCCATTCCAACATTCTCCTCACAGGAGATTCTTGAGCCCACTTAAGTTTAAAAAGGAGATCCACGTTATCAACCAAGTAAACATGCTTTCTATTTCTTTATATTCACATCCACTTTGCTATGTATTTGGTTCAAACACTGAAAGTTAGCTGGTCTTCATGTACCAATCACTTTCCAATACCTTAAGGAAAAAAACAGTCACTCAAATTCTAAAACAATGATTACTTACAATGAAAGACTGTTACTTCCCTATTTAAATATTCCCAAAGGCTATATATTAAAAACTACAACAACAAATAGCTAGAATCTGGAAAAAATCTGAGTGCCCGAGAACATATGACTGGTTAAAGAAACTTTGGTTCATCTACACAATAGAGTACTATGTAGCTGTTAGAAAAGATGAAAATTCCAAATTACAAAAATTTATATACAATTGGTACTACATGGAAAGCATCATGCTAAGCAAAATGAGTCAGAAAGAGAGGGACAGACATAGAAAGACTGCATTCATCTGGGGAACATAAAGTAACAAAATAGGAGACTAACACCCAAGAATAGCCTAGATAAGTACCAGGAGGTTTACTCCATGGCTTGGACGCCAGCCGCACACGCTAGGGGAAAAGGCAGCTCAGATAGAAAAGGGAGCACCAAATAAAGAGTGTTGGGAGGATCCTCCCAGGATGGGAGATGCATGCTGAGAGTAGACTATGGACCAAACATGACTGTCACTCAATGCCTCTTTTGCAAACCACAGCACCCAAAAGGAGAAAGAGAACAAAAGGAAATGCCCTGCCACAGAGGCAGGGTGGGATGGTGGGGATAAGGGGGTGGGAGGGATATTGGGATCAGTGGTGGTGGAGAATTGGCACTGGTGGAGGGATGGGTACTTGATCATTGCATAACTGAAACCCAAGCACAAAAAATTTGTAAGTCTACACTGTACCACACGGTTTTTCACTAATAAAAACAAAACAAAACAAAACAAAAAACTGGGCTAATGAAAAAAAACAGGAGTTTCACTACAAAGGATGTACAAAATACCCCCAAAAATTCCAAACACATATCTTATCTATCAAAACTCAAAAATCAAGTAATAGCAAATATTACTATGGTTATTAGTCATTAAGAACTCAAGTCACTGCTAACGGCATTATCAATAGGCCCAGTTCCTTTGGAATGATTTAGTATCACCTGCACATTTCCTGCATTTCAAGAACAACCTCACTGGGCTGGAGAAGCCCTTAAATGTGCTACCTGGAGTAAAAAGTTGTTTCCAGCAGCATTGTTTATAACAGTAAATAATGGAAACGGTTCAAATGCCCACCAAGAGTACAATGAAAATAAAATCCATGCATATTCATACTAGAGAATATCAGAGATTAGTGAAAAGAAAAAACTACCTGCATCACCCTCATTGACTCTCAAAAACTAAGGTAGCCTGTTTTGCCTAAAAAGCTTGCCATGTTAAGAAGCTACTGTTCCCTTTCATGTAATACTCAAAAGGAAACCCGATTAAAACATTTTATAGGTAGATGATGAAGATTACGAAAAATATGGCGACAGAGAGATCAATAGGATTTTGAGTTGCTACTTGAGATTCTGGGGCTGGGGATGTGTGTGTGTGTGGGCGGGGGTGGGGGGTTGTGGGGGAGCAATCGGAGATACCCAGAGTTTCCTCTAGGATGTGGTCATACTCAATGCCAGAAAATGGTCTGGGTACACCTTTTCCACGTGTTGGTTTCACAATGGAGGCACACTGCATTCTCTTCTCTGTGCATTACACACTTACAATGCAACATGTTCAATACTGCCTTAATAGCTATAGAGCTTAGGGTCTTTAACCCTTCCAGTAAAACTGACAGGAACTGACTATCTCAAAGATACAACGTTACGGGTGACAGTCCAACGAAAGTTCACTCAAAGCTGTTCCCACCAGAACAGAGAACCGAGGTTGTGGAGGTGGGACATAGGTGGGGTTGGACAGAGGTGGGTGCGGCAGCGCTGTGAGCATAGAAGAATACCAAACCCTGCTGTTACCATCATTCCGCAATACTTTATTTTTAAACGACTGGGTAATCCTACCCTGGGCAATTTCTCTAGGCTTTTTAAAAAAATTATTTATTTATTTAGCTTTTTTCACACCTGGCGATGCACAGGGTTTACTCCTGGCTCTGTACTCAGGAATTACCTCTGGCGTTGCTCAGGGGACCATATGGGATGCTGGGAATAGAACCCGGGCCGGCCGCGTGCATGGCAAACACCCTACTCGCTATGCTATTGCTCCAGCCCCAAAATAATAATCAGCTTTTTTTTTTTCCTTTTTGGGTCCCACCCGGCCATGCACAGGGGTTATTCCTGACTTTGCACTCAGGAATTACTCCTGGCGGTGGTTGGGGGATCGTATGGGATGCTGGAAATCGAACCCAGGTCTGATGCACGCAAGGCAAATGCCCTACCCGCTGTGCTATTGCTCCAGTCTAGGTTGTTTATTATTATTATTATCATTCATACTGAAGAAAATGGATCAAATCAGACTCCACAAGACGGTTTCAGCAGGGCATTCTAAACAGCCGAAGCGCACTGTAGGAGTAACTGCAAGATGACAGCCAAGAACTGGGATGCAACTCCAAAAGCGTCCTGGGTGAGTGACAAGCTGGGGCTAAGGGCGCGCCTGTCATCTCCTCTTCCACACGTCGGCCCCAGTTCCCTTCTCCGCCAGCCTCCAGGGTCCGACACTTGCCCCGACCCTCTCCCCAACCCTCCTTTCGGCCAGTCACTCCCCAGCCTTGCCAGTTCGACCCTGCAAGCTCGCCCGCCATTCCCCGCAATCATTCGCTTCATCATTCCCATAGGGCGAAGTCAGCAGCACCTTCTCCTCGGGATGCTCCAGCACAGGGTCAGATGACTTAGAAAATCGTGGCCGGGAACCGAGTCTGCCGCTCGATCCTGCGAGTCAGCAGCCCCCGCGCCCCCCGATCGTCAGGAACTAACTATTCGGGTCCCCAACAGTCTCCACGCGGCACAGTAAATTCCCACGTACCCAGAGAACATTCGAGACGAGCCTCCCAACCTCGGGCTCCCCATGCTCACACACCCTCACCTCTGTTCTCCTGCTTCGACTTTTGGTTCTTGAAGGCTTTTCTCCCGGGGGCTGCGACCGACCCGTGCTCCGAGGAGGAGGCCATTCTTGCGATTGCTTCCGGGGTCCACCGGAAGTGAGGTGGTGCGTAAACCCTACCGCCTACAACCTCGGTACCCACGAGGAGTTCCGCACATCTGCGCAGGCTCCGCCGGGTCCGAAGCCGAGCTCGCGTATTTGCACCAATCACGGCGCATCTACTACGAGTCCAATGGAGAACCGGGGGACCGGGATGGGGGGGAAACCGGAGGACTTCTTTCCCAGGATGCACTGCAACCAAGTGGTCCAGGTCCATCCTGGGAAATGTAGTTTAGTTCCTTGAGCCCCTTGGAGGCTGGGATCCGGTTTTATTTGTCTCTGTCTTGTGACCTCAGGGTCTAATTCGGAACGCAGGATGGCAGTGTTTGGTTACAGCATGTGACAGAGTAATTTATTTGCTAAATATTTATATGGTGGTCAAATAACTGCTGGACCGGGAATCGTGCAAATATGATTATATGTGGTCCTTGATCACACGGAGTGACAGCGGTACTATCCTTTATCGGGAGACTGCTTTGCCTTGATACTTCGTTTGCAATATTTCTAATACTCGAAACAAAATCAAGATCTAAATATAACTAGGTTGGTAATTTTCAGAAGGCTAATGCCCAAGTCCTTGTTTCCAAGAGTGATGCTGTCAGGTTTTAGGGTAGTAATTCAGCAACACATCAGAATTATCTGAGTAGCTTTAAAGTTCCCCCAAATGACTAACTTCTGACTACCCTCATACTGCATTGTTGACTTCAAGAGATGCAGTTTATCGCTTTTGCAAATACCCACATTTCTATTTTTTGGTTTTGATTTGGTTTTAGGGCCAATACCCTTCGATGCTCAGGGCTTACGCCTGGCTCTGCTCTCAGGAATCACTCCTGGAGGTGCCTGGGGGACCATATGAGATGCGAGGAATTGAACCTGGGTTGGCCTTATATGCTAGGCCATAACCATATCCGGTGTACTATCACTCCTGCCCCAAAATTACCGTATTTCTAAGAATGGAAAATCTCACTGTCACTGTCACTGTCTCTTCCCGTGGTACATCGATTTGCTTGAGCGAGCTCAGTAACGTCTCCATCGAGAGACTTTGTTGTTACTGTGTTTGGCATACTGAATACATCATGGGAAGCTTGCCAGGCTCTGCCATGCGGGCGAGAAACTCTCGGTAGCTTGCTGTGCTCTCCGAGAGGGGCGGAGGAATCGAACTCGGGTCGGCCATGTTGGCTGCGAGCAAGGCAAACGCCCTACCACTGTGCTATCGCTCCAGCCCATGGAAAAGCTCATTAAAATAAATAATGTAATTGCAGTTGACGTACTATGATTTTTAATAGTGTCACCCTTAATTCTTTTGATATAACAAGCTACTGTGCCTACACCATCACCAGAAATGCTAAAGGCCCTTAACCTCTATGTTCCATCTATTAAAATTATCTTTTAAATTATTTTGTTTCATTGCTTACTGTATCAAAATTACTTTGTAGCACAAATAAAGAGTTCCTAGCTCCTAATAAAATGCAAACATATTATTAACCTGTTTACTATCTCTCTGGCCTTAATGTTTATGGACTTTTTTTTAAAATTGAATCACCGTGAGGTACAGTTAAAAGTTTGTGGACTTAATCAGCAACATCAACACTTTTCTATTGTGTCCAGTCTACTGGTATAGTATGCATAGTTTTGGTACTGCCAGCCTCCTATTTTTGCATAAATATATATACATTTATTATATTAAAGTAATTATATAATACCGTATTTGTACTATATACTACTGTATATAGTACAATAATTATATAATAGATGTTCAGTGCTCTCTCTAAATATTTAGTACTAAGTGATTGATATAATAACATTATTTTTCTTGGAAGGGGATTGTGTAGTGATTCTCTGGACTTACTCTTGGATCTCTGTTCAGGAATTATTACTGGTGGTGGTCAGCTGAAATGATAAGGTGCTGAAGATCGATTCTGTGTCAATGCCAACTACACGCAAGGCAAGTACCTTAATTCCTGTATAATCTCTCTAGTCCCATTATATGTTATATATATATATATATACACAATACATATACATATACATATTTGGTTTTGGGGGTAATACCCAGTGGTCCTCAAGGGTTACTCCTAGCTCTGCACTCAGAAATCACTCCTGGTCGTGCTCAGGGTACCACGAAGGTTGCTGGAGTCTGCTATGTGTGTGGCAAATGCCCACCCACTGTACAATCGCTTGGGTCCCATATTATTTATAAATTTTAATATATACATTTTATATACCAACTTTGGGCACATCTTTTCAACTCCACCATTCTTCCAGCACTAACATATGCCTCAGAGACCTGGGCTCTACGAAAACAGGACGAGAATGCTATTTGGATCACTCAAAGAGGAATTGAAAGAGCTATACTTGGAGTATCACACTTCACTCAAATGAGAGAAGGAATCCGGAGTTCCGTCCTCCATCGACGATCAAAGATCAGGGACGCTGTCTCATTTACCACGGTGTTGAAAATCAGATGGTCTGGACACATAATGCGACTTACAGACGACTGCTGAACTAGAGCTGTTACCGACTGGATTCCATGGGGCGTTAAAAGGACGCATGACCACCCACCTACGAGATGGTCAGAGTTCATCAAAACCCTGAACAAACGGTTTGAGGCTCTTTGTGTTCCTGGAGTGAGCAGATGCCATTGGACTACACTAGCAAGCAACAGGATGAATGGAGACATTACTGGTGCCCACTTGAGCAAGTCAGTGATCAACTGGATGACAAGTGATACAAGTGATAAAATATACACACATTAATGTATGTTTTAGACATACATGCCTTGATTTTTTGTCTCGAGATTCAATGCAGCAATTTCTGGTAGCACAAATCTATACTGCTGATAAACATGATGCTTATCCTCTCTACTGTCACACACACCACATGCACACACAGAGAGACACACAGCAACACAGAAAACAATGAAACTTATTTTTTACTTACCATTGTGGCAAAAAAAGAAATTTTAAAAAATTTGAAGAAAATCTGCTGGAAAAAAGAAAGTGCTTTTGTACACTACTTGTGGAAATGTAAACTGTAGATTTACAAAGAAATCTATGGATATAAAAAATGTAAAATATAAACATATTTTTCCCGCAGTAATTTCAATCCTGAGAAATTGTGAATTAAAAGAAAAAAATCCATCTTATTAGGATATGTGTACAATTGCATTGAAAAATGCCTTGCATAGTAAATTGCTTTGGTGATTCACTGGTTAGTTCATCACCTACTAGTTATGCAGCCTTAGGTAAGTTTCTCATCCACCTCTGCTCATTTTCCTATAAAGGGAAGAACAGCCTCATACTTCACTCTTTATATATGTAATTTTTTTCAAAAGTGCTTCCTATGTGATATTCATTCACTGTTAACTATTAACTATACATGGTGGCAAAAAATAAAAACTACACATGTATTGATAAGAAATATATGACAATAAGAAATAAATATACTTAATGACTTGAAGTGATACAGAAAAATTGGATAACTGTATGCAATATATATTAACATGTATTATTTATTTTATTTTAATTAATCTATATTAGCATGTAGGCTTATACATATATATGGTGAAAATAGGCAAAAGAACAGGAAAATGAAATCCATAATAAAACAACATGCACATGATTGTCAAAAACTGCTTATGTGTTTGTGCATGTACATAAGCCTGACTGTTGCTATAAAGATACTTCAGAGGATGTGCATTTAGATGACAATTGTCATCAATCACAGTTTGCATGATTTTTATACTCTTGGAAATCTGAGTATAAATATCTGTTCCAAGCTACAAGGTTATTTACAGCAACTGCACAAATAACACTAAAAAGGAAAAACAAACTATCATTTCTAAAGAGGTTCTTTGTAAAAATCTTGATGGAAATTCTTTACTGGGTCATAAGAACAAGGGGTAGGCCACTTTTGATTGTAACTTATTTGCTCCTTATATTAAAACTCAATGCAGTCAGACTCCTACAGATAACATGTTCTATCAACTTTTAATTAATTTATTTATTCACAAAAAGAAAGTTGAAATCAAAAGGCAACTCTCTTGGAATTAAGAAATTTAATTCTCACACACTTAAGAGGGTACTGACAAAAAGTCAGGCTGTGGCTTAATAGTGAAGATACAATAATTTTTATTACAAAGGGCAGAAGTCTGGGAATGTGGCTCAGTGATAGAGTACTTGTCTTTCATATTCCAGGTAATTGATTTGCTGCTTGGCACAGGCACGGCATGATGTCCTGAGCACTGCCAGGAGAGATCTCTAAGCACTAAGCCTTTGAGCACAGCTGGGTGTGACCAAATAACAGAAAAAAGTTTGCAAATCTGGTTTATTTCCTATCTATATTTATTTCCTTCTATATTTATTTATTGGGGATAAAATTATTTTTGTCCAGTTTGGGTTTTTTTAATTTAAATTAAGAGAGGTTCTCTCAAATCCATAGAGCTCACATATTTTAATTTTACTTTTAATTTTACATAAGTGGCTTTCTATTTCAGTAAATCTCACCAAAAAAGGCTTAAAATAATGATTCTTGGGCCAGAGAGAGAGAGAGAGAGATAGAGAGAGAGAGAGACTGAGGGAGAGATGGAGAGAGGGAAGGGAAGGAGGAAGAGAGGGAGGGAGGGGGGAGGGAGAGAGAAAGAGAGAGAGAGAGAGAGAAAGAGAGAGAGAGAGATGGAAAGAGGGAAGGGAAGGAGGAAGAGAGGGAGGGAGGGGGGAGGGAGAGAGAAAGAGAGAGAGAGAGAGAGAGAGAGAGAGAGAGAGAGAGAGAGAGAGAAGAACAGAGCCTTGCATACAGCCAACCTGAATTCAGTTCCTGAATATGATCCCCTGCCAGAGATGATCCCAGGTCAAATCAGAACCAGAAATCCTGAGCACAGCTGACTATAACACCTCTCCACCAAAAATTATTGAATCATAGGACCAGAGATGTTGCTCAGTGGTAAAGTAGTACACCTCACATGTGTGAGGCTCATGATT